TTACTAGTACCTACATATACTACACGGATTATGACGCGCCTTCGCGGAAAATTTTTTCTCGTCGGAGAGTGCAATTCCTCAACGAGCCGACGTCTCTCGGAGCTAATTTTTTCTCTCTTTTCATCAGATTTTTTTTATATGATTCGACGTGTAATATACAGAGTATAAGAAAATAATGTATTTTTCTCGCTGGTATCACTTGATTGACTAGTTTTATGGATACGCGATTTAATTTATAATAAGACCGGCTTCGCAAAGTTCCTCGATGATTGACAGCATCTCGTTGTCGTGAGCGTTGTTGCCTGCTCATTGCTTCGCATCCACCAGCGATCCACCAGCTCGTTGGGATTATCTCAGTGCACGTAATCAATCGCGAAGTCATTCAATGTCATTGCGTGAGGTAATCCCTTTCCAGATTTCTTCTTCTGTTTCTTGGGTGCGACATCAACGGCGCGATTACGTGTTTGTACTTGTATCCTCTGTTGCTCAATAATCGACCATGCAAATGGTACTTGTGTTGTGCGCGTTGGTCAACAACAGCATGCTCTTGTATTTGTGCATATTGTTTTCCGTGCAGAGGACATCGTCGGGAATTCTCTTAAAAATCAATTCGGAAAATCAAAGACCAGGTGTACCGGCGTATTGTACGCCGTCGATAATTATGTTGTCCGCGTCATCCACATCGAAACGTTTATTGCCAAACATCAGCCCATCCTTGTGTAGGTAAACGCCGTACACGTGATCTACGAGGTCTGGCTATTAAATAACGAGACTGCGCGCGCAGAAGGCGTCCTAGAGGGGTAGGGTGGGAAACGAATGCAGCGTTGGATAGCTGGAAGTGTCTACTATTCCAGTACGAAAACACGTTTTTGTCGCAGTAGTAGTATTTTTTCTATAGAGGTTAGAAACGAACTTGTTTTTTTCTCGTGCCGATAACAATGTGTGACGAAAAACACGAGCAACGGATCAATGTGAAATTTCTCGTTAAATTAAAAAAAACTCCGACTGAGTGCTATAAGTTGTTGAAAGAGGCCTATGGTGAGAATTCTCTATCTCGTGCGCGTGTTTTCGAATGGTATAAACGGTTTTCTGAAGGCCGAGAGAGCACCGAAGATGACCAACGTCCAGGTCGACCTGTCTCTGTTTCAACTCCGCAAACAGTGACCAAAATCAATGAAATTGTGCGCGGAGATCGTCGTATGAGCATTCGGATGATTGCTGAGACTGTAAACGCCGATAAAGAAACTGTCAAAAAAATTTTACATGACGAATTAAACATGAAGAAAGTCTGTGCGAAGTTGGTCCCAAAAAATTTGACCCCTGACCAAAAGCTCGTCCGTCAACAGATCTGCTCAGATTTTCTTGAGAGGTTAGATGAAGAGCCTGAATTGATGGAAAACATCATCACTTGCGATGAAACCTGGATATTCCAACATGATGTTGAAACTAAGCGGCAATCCATGCACTGGAAAACTCCTGCATCGCCAAGAATGAAAAAAGCAAGGATGTCGAAATCAAAATTTAAAGCCATGCTAATCGTTTTTTTCGACATTAACGGCATCATGATGACTGAATGGGTTCCAGAGGGTCAAACTGTAAACCAAACTTACTATTTGACAGTTTTGGCAACACTGCGAGAGTGAGATCGTAAGAAACGGCCGGAGTTGTGGAAAAAACAAGTCGTGGATCTTGGACCAGGACAACGCACCTGCCCATAACGCGCTGTCTGTGAAGCGTTATTTAGCCGCTAGAGGCACTCCAGTGCTCGAACACGCGCCGTACTCGCCTGATTTAGCACCCTGTGACTTTTTCCTGTTTCCGAAGATCAAGTCTGCCTTAAAAGGAACCCGGTTCGAGTCGATGGAAAAGGTGAAGCGAAAATCGGCGGAGCTCCTAAATGCTCTTACAAAAGAAGACTTCCAGCATTGCTTTGACCAATGGAAAAAACGAATGGAACGGTGTGTGGCGAGGGGAGGGGAGTAAATTGAAGGGGAGCATTCAAATGTAGAATAATTTTTAAAATAAAACTCTTTTTCATAAGCAGTCTCGTTATTTAATGGCCAGACCTCGTATATCGCTCTCTTTATCTTCGCTCCTCTCAGGACAGTCTCGACGTACTTTTGACCTAGCGAGCCCAAGCCGGCTCGTAACTCCTCTCGACCTTCCGACGTTTGCAGCTGATTTTGAACCTTCGTCGCTAGCAAGTCTTCCGTCGTTTCGAAAACGTTCTTCAACGACTCTATCGTCGGTACGATTTTAGAACGTGGGGTGGATTATGGGGAGGTTATTGATTGTACATCATCGTATGATCGATCATTGGATTTGCAGAGTCGTGGAACGCTCGAATGTCTCGCTCGCTTCTTCTCTCTTCTCTTGTTTTTCTTCCTTCTTCCTCTCATGTTTATGGACGGACGCTGTATCTTCGTCGCGCAACTCTCTCTTTGTCGCACGCACGCCGGGGCTGTTAGCGAAAAGTCGCAGCGGCTCGATAAGATGTGTAAAATGTCTGTCCAACGCGATGCCCTCCTCGATTCTATCAGTCTTCAGAGAGCGATGTTTCTTGCGGATCGACTCGCTCGTCTTCTCAATTGCCCTCGTGATTTTTTTACGCTCGCGCACATCTGCCATGTTTGTCTCTAAGTATCGACAACGACTGATCGCGTTATGGTATCGCGAACTCGTTAAATCCTTTTTTGTATCGTCCATTTGTGAGCGCACTGTCTTTGTCTATCACTACAAATTCATATTTTTGTTGCCAACAGCCGCGGCACAACGCGCAAAATTCGTCGTACGACATGTCGGTATTCACATGATCGTTGTAAACGTGTTTGAAGTTGGTACTATCCTGTTTGAACAGGATCAGAAGGTTCGCGTTGTAGCGTATCAGATGTTTAGGTATTCTCGCGTACGTCTGACAGAGATAGAAGCAGTCGACGTTCGCGTGACGATTCATCACAAAGTATTCTCTCACCGCATCCTGCTTGTCGCATGCCACGTCATCGAAGATAAAAATAAAATTTAGGCACATCTCACTCGGTGGAACGACGTCGCTGTTGTTGAAGAACGTAAAGTAGCCGATTTCATCGATAGACGTAAACAAATTTTCGAGATATCGATACTTTGGGATTTCGAATAGAAATACACGTTCTCGAAACATACACCGATTAGGTTCTCGAATAAGCTTATGAGAACGTTGGTTTTACCACAATTCGACGGGCCGCAAATGATCACGCGTATAGTACTCGGCAGTATTTCGCCGTGCTTGCGCTTCTCCGTGCTGCCCCCCCCCCCATCATTCGCGATTTCGCGTCGCAGTTCGTGACGCGTATCGTCAGCGATTGCAGCACGAATTTCATGCCCACACTACAGGCTGTGCGCTCTCGAACGACTATTTAAAGACGTGCGAATCCCGCAAATCGCGCAGTAGCAAAATGTATCTCGTAATGGGTCATCCTTCCGATATTCGAGACTTAAGCGCCGAGCAGTTGCATATATACCAAAGGTCGTATTACGCGTGTACGGCGATTACATCGAATACGTCAGGGACAAGCTTCCGGAACACGTGAAGGCAGATTCGGAGGTTCGAACCTATCGTCGCTGCGACAAGCATTACAATCAGTCGTGGCAGCAAACGCACATCGACATTCCCGCACCTAAGATAAAGAACTGTAGCGAATGTCGTGAACTGTAGCGGCAGTCTGTTGAATCAAGCGGTAAACGCGCTTCCTTTCGAGTTACATATTTCGGGCTACTAGTTTTGCGGCCCGGGCACTCGGCTTTCGAAGCGATTAGCTAGAGTGACGCGGGCATAAATCCGCTGGACGTAACGTGTCGATAACACGACATTGCGCATTTGCACAACAACAATCTCACCGACAGACACGCGGCAGAAAATATACTAGCCGAGAAAGTGCAGAAACGCATTACCGCGAGTGATTTGGCTCTTAGCGAGAGAGCCGCCGCTGCTGCCATCTGGACAGCGATGAAAACCAAAACCAAGATCGACATGGGCATTAAAGAAGAAGACGACGACGAGGAAAAACGCGACGAAAACGTGGATACTTCCAACGGCGAAACAAGGCGGTGCGTTACCGTTTCTGCCAATGTTGGCGCGCTCGAGTCTTTGATCGGCGGAGCGGCCAGCGTGGCAAAAGCGGTAAATGACAACAAAGACGCGTGACGCCATCTCGAAGAGCTGCAACGTCACGACCGCGCGATGGAACAGGGACCGCGGACGGTATCTCGCTCCGTACAAATACGGACGCGAACTGTATCTCGGCCCGTACAAACATGGATAGGCTGCAAAGAAAAAAAAAACGCCAATGAGACAATAAAAATGCCGTCTGGCGCAACTACTAATGTGCAATTAAACGAGCTCGCGAGACGAATGCGCATACCATACTTTAGAGACGTTTTCATGAGTAACACGTTATCGACAAGCGGTGCGCGTCAAAACGAAAGCGGTATCGTCAATCTAGACGATGCGACGGGGCCTGGCATTCACTAAGCGTATGCGAAGAGAAACAACCGCGTCGTATATTTTGACAGTTTCGGTAATCTTCGACCTCCCAAGGAACTGGTGCGATATTTCGGGAATGGTGCTACGACAATAGAGTACAATCATACGTCCTATCGTATGATCAGAGCTTCTGCGGATAGACGTGTCTGCGGTTTCTACAAACGGTACACGCACGTGAATTTAAAAAACTCGACGAAATGCTGTGAAATCTCAGTATTATCGAACAATTTTTTCGTCATGTCGCTGACGCTTACGCTGAGCGGGAAGAGCACCGGTCCTCGCAGCGAACTACTTTCCCGCCATAGATTTGAGTGACGGCGATTACGAGCTCGGTCTGACGATTTTTGAGACTTATTACATGATATCGAAAATGAATAAATCGAACAACAAATTTTATTTTGCCAAAGATGACGCGGAAATTACAATTCCCGAAGGTTCGTACGAAGTGTGAGACATAAATGAATTTCTGAAACGCGTGATTTTACGGAAACGTCCGCACCGCGACGTGGTTGAAACCGTTGACGTAGTGCGTGGTGACAATAACAATAATGACATCGATAACGATAATGGTGAGGGTGGAGAATACCCGATATGCGCAAACTACAACACAATGAGATGCGAGATTAGATGCATATACCAAGTGTACAAGTATGAAATGCGGATTTGAGAAAACAGATGGCGCATCAATGCAGTGTGTGGTATAAAGATTTGACTGTTATGCCATTTTGAAGTGCCATCAACAAGTGTCAGACGCGCACGAGTGATAAATTGAAAGTATTTGCATAGTGTTGTGTTGCTGTGTTCGATATGTCGAAATTTATTCCAAACAAAGAGCATTCGCGGACATCATTAATTTTTTGTTTTTATTTGAAGAAAACTGCAGCTGAATCATACCGATTACTTCGAGAAGCTTATTGTGAACATGCTCCATCGCAAGATACGTGTGAACGATGGTTTCGGCATTTTAAAAGCGGTGACTTCGATGTTGCAGACAAGGAATACGGAAAACCGCCAAAAAGGTACGAAGATGTGGAATTGCAAGCATTGTTGGACAAAGATGATTCACAAACACAAAAACAACTCGCAGAGCAATTGAGCGTTAGTCAACAAGCTGTTTCCAATCGCCTACGAGAGATGGGAAAGATTCAGAAGACCGGAAGATGGGTACCGCATGAGTTGGACGGCAGGCAGATGGAGAGGCGCAAAAACACATGTGAAATTTTGCTTGCACGATACAAAAGGAAGTCGTTTTTGCATCGTATCGTTAGTGGGGATGAAAAGTGGATTTATTTTGAGAATTCCAAGCGCAAAAAATCATGGGTAGACCCAGGCGCACCATCCACATCGACCGCAAGACCGAATCGCTTTGGCAGAAAGACGATGCTCTGTGTTTGGTGGGACCAGAAGGGTGTGGTCTATTATGAGCTGTTAAAACCTGGTGAAACGGTTAATGCTGGACGCTACCAACAACAATTGATCGATTTGAACCGTTCGCTGCTTGAAAAAAGATCAGAATACCAAAAGAGACAACACAAAGTCATTTTTCTTCATGACAATGCTCCATCACATACGGCAAAACCGGTTCGCGATACGTTGGAAGCACTCAGCTGGGAAGTTCTACCCCATGGGGCTTACTCACCAGACTTGGCTCCTTCCGATTACCACTTGTTTGCATCGATGGGTCACGCACTTGCTGAGCAGCGCTTTGGTTCGTACGAAGATGTGAAAAAATGGCTCGATGAATGGTTCGCGGCAAAGGGGGAAGATTTTTACTGGTATCCACGAATTGCCCGAAAGATGGGAAAAATGTGTAACTAGCAATGGAGCATACTTTGAACAAAGCTCTTTTTATCATTCTTCCGAATTTAACGTGTTTTTTTTGGAAAAGAAATCCGCATTTCATACTTGGACACCTGGTATATAACTGCCTGTTATTCGTATCTCTTGACAAGTAACAATAAATAATGTTAGTAATTATTCTTCTCGTTCTCGTTCACTTATAAAACCCTCAAGTAAACCTCGTATTCATTAAAACCTTGCCCTAACAAGCTCGCACGTGGTCCATTCCCGAGTTAAAGGGATTTCCCTGACTCGAAATTCGGACCGACGATCGCACCGCTCGTAGGAAATAGGTGTCATAGCGTCTTTACGAGACGTTAACCCATTTTCCGAAGCGAGCAATAAAAAGGGTGCGTTCGACTCGACGTGCTTGTTTCCGGGCAAATACTTGCGAGACAAGAGTCTGACCGTCCTTCCACGCTCCATCCTTTCTACTCCCTTCTCTCTTTAAATCCATTTTTCGGAGTTTGGACGTAACATTAGTTCTGAGTTAAATAAAGTTTTATTTAAAAAAGGACAAACGATGCGAGCGTTGCGTGAAACGCAGCCATTGTATATACAAAGATTTATTAAATGATATTGAGAAAATCATTTATTAAATTCAACTATCATTGAAATCAATGTAACGATGATAGTATATGACTTAATGACTATTAATAGTTATTAAGTCAATGATTATTTAGTCATGTAGTATAAATGTGCTACCATCCTAATCAGAATTGATAATAGAATTGATGTCGAATCGCAACGCGAGCATCATTTGTCCTTGTTTAATATTCGGTAAACAAAAATTCCACGAGCGATGTAAAACGTTAACTGAAACGCAGCCAATATTGTGATTTATAAAATCGAATAATTTTTACAAAAAAATAAGTCTTTTGTTTATTCATATACGTATATGTGTATATGATTGAAAAATCACTGTGCGTAAAATAAAAGCAAATTCTATAGTAATAAATAAAAATAGCAGTCACTTTTACCTTAGCGATTTGAATAAAACCACTTGCAGGTTCACCATGACCAAGATTGGATTTTACGGAGCCGATCATTAATGGAGTTTCTCTATTTTTACACAAACTGTTACAGATAGCAGTGACTTCCTGCAAATCGCCAACTTTGGTACCCGTACCGTGTGTTTCAATGTAATCCAAGCAAGATGTCAGTATTCCACATTCATTGTAACATTCCTTTAGTAAAATACTTTGCATTAGCAAAGATGGATGTGTTATTCCTACTTCTTTGTAACCGTCGTTGTTTAATTTTATATGCGGACATATAGCATAAATTCTCTTCGCATTTTTTGCCTTTTGAAGGTATACTATCGCCACTGTTTCGCTATGCGAATAACCGTTTCCATTGGAATCGAAAGGTCTGCAATAACCCTCAGGTGATAAAACACCTACATATACTCGTAATATAAAATCATGTAATATATTATATATATGGATATAAGCATGCATATAAATATAAGTATTTTTTAATATATTTCGCATTTTTTATATATATATTTTGCACTCACATTATTAAATTAATTTATATTTAAAAAATTAAATAATTAAATATTAATACTTTTATTCTTTATAAAGTAATATTCTGTTTTGAAAAATATCTTATTACAAATGTTTTATCAAGTTCCGCAACGTTAAAATTTATTTTTTTTTTGTGAATTAGAGATGTGCAAACCACTAAATTTTACGTCTAGCGTAAAACTTATTATTAGTAAGTAGATTAAGAATTTAAGATTTTAAGTAAAAATATTAAAATTAATAAATTAAAATTAATAAATTATAAAAATATCAAGACGAGCGTATTGCAAACTAATAATTGGATGCAAACATAGATTTCCAGCTCCAATTATCGCGTCTTCGCATTTTCCCGACATAATACAATGATAACCAAGAGCCATGGCATAAAGACTACATGCTGTATCGACAGTATAAGATGGTCCTTTTAGATCTAAGTAGTACGAAATCACATTTGCCATTGTAGATTTGCTGCATCCAACGATTTGAAAATCGTCTTACTATTTACAAAACATTATCGTTTACAATTTTTGCATATGAATTCTAAATTTAGTAATCTCTACTTTATTTATGCAGGATGAATCATTAATAATATAATATTAGAGATTGTTATTTTTAATATTAAATGGAATATAAAATTTTTATTTTTTATAATTCGTTTAGTATCGAAAATAATATTCTTTGATAAAATTAGTTTTTTCTAAGTTGAGTAACTTCAAGGATGATCATTATCTTTGTTCTCGTCATTGAAATTGTATGACTTTTATGAGTTAAAATAAAAAGAATTTATCAAATTAATTCTTCTCGTAATTGTATGCTTATTATTCATCCTATATGTACTATATCAATAATTTTGTTTTAACTGATAATTCTCATATAGAAATTTCTCTTGTGTTTCAATATAAGATGTGCCTATGATCACAGTAGTATTTTTTCCTCGTAATTGCTTTGGATTAATTCTTGCATCGATAATTGCTTCATAAGAATGTTCCAGTAACATTCTCCCTTCGGGCATAAGTACGTGTGCTTGCTTGAAAGATAATCCAAAGAAATCCGCATCAAATTTTTCCAAATTGTTAATTATTCCCATACGCGTTGATAAGTCTGGATACTCTAATGAAAGATAGATGTTTTCACATAAAGATATTATGTTCCTTCTTTATATCTTTTTAGATGAAATTTTAGTATACTTCTCTAACAAATAAGTATGTAATTACATTTAATACAGAAAAAGCGGTATATTCTATCTCAACCAATCATACATAAATGTAAAAGTATAACGTATAACTATGAATTTGAATTTTTACCATTTTCCCATCTGCCATGATCTGCTTTAACGAGATCAATTTTATTGAATAAATTTTCTCGTAAATGATTCATGTTATCTGAACCAGGAAATCTGCCAGCAATACCAGATATAACGATCTCCTCGCCGAAATCAATATCATTCCACGATCTATATGCTTCTTTGCCATCCATGGTTTTTATTATGTGTGTCAGACAATCTAGAAAAATGTTATGTGTATCTTATGTTATTATTTTTTTTATTTATGCTAATCAATATACCTGATCCTGATATTTATAATATTGTTGTAGTATCGTTTGAGTTGCAGATAAGAAATGCGTTTAAACTTTTTAACGACAGGCACTTTTTATATAAACTTAAATGACTACTGTTGTAATATTAAAACGTCGACTATAGTGTTGCATACGTTTATACCAGGGAAACTTATGCCATCTGACCTATACTGTAACCCAAGCAAAGTCTGTTCAGACAAGAATTGTTTACATCTCAAGTGATTTAATTATTATATTTTCAGCGATTTAATTATGTTCACGGTTTCAATGCCATTCACCGGTTAAAAATAATACTTTTTTTTTGTAAAAATAATTATTCTTATTTAGTCACTTCTTTTTACTATTTAATTTAAACAATTTAGTTACATGTATAATATATTTTTTCTTTTTCCGATGAGAGATTGCATTCCACTTGATATTTGCAACGCTCTTGGAATCATTACATTCTTGTTGTTGATCAAATATTAAACAAAGATAAATGAGGCTTGCAAATGTTGTAAACGCCAAATGAAACGCGCTCTATACACATTATCCCAGTAAGTAAGAAACATTTTGGAACATTTGAGTAACATTGTAGCAATGTTACAATGTTGAAATATTCCAAAATGTTTCTTACTGGGATGTCTATCTTAAAAAATAGTCCATAATTAAGTTATGAAAGAAACTCTTTATGACCATTTTTTTTTGTTGAAATTAAACAATGCTGTGTTAATTCCCGATAGGCGCAAAATATTCTTAAAATATTGTATAAATATTAAAAAATTAAAATAAGTTATTATAATATTTGGAGAACATTGTATAATATCTTTTAATATTATGAGAGTATTCTATGGATGTTATATGTCCACTTAAAATAAATATTCTTGATATATTTTCTTTAACATCCCTAAAATATTATTAAAATATTTATTATTATTAATTATTTTTATATTAAAGTGCAGTTTAAATTCACAATCCAGTAACGAAAATGTCTTATCAATATATGCTGCATCTTGTGTTTAAATAACGTTTCGATGTTATTTTATGTACCTATCCAGTCTTACAACTGCACGCCAAAATTATTCTCAGTCTTTAAACATATATTTAACCTGAACCGATGTAACAGTTTTACAAATTAAAGTAAATGTTGTTATGACACTTTTTAATGTTCATATAATATTATAGTAACAGTAAATAATGTTACTTTTAATAATCATGTAATATTATCAAGAGTGGACATATAACCATCTATTAATATTTCAAGAATATTATTTAATATTATATAATTTCAATAAAATATTTTTCAAATTTTACGTTTAATATTCTGAAAACATGTTTAAAATATTATTTAATATTTAAAAATATAATATTATTATATTAAATATGTGTATAAGATTATAATTATGCTAAATATAATTTCTATTTATTTTAAATTAAGAAAAAATATTAAGTAAGAGGTAAATCGTATTTTTAAACAATATTCACTAGAATATTTCTAAATTTTACAGGTGATTCTAAACTTTTGCCTGATAGCGTATGTTTTTTTAAGTTTTGTTAATGTTTTTGCTTCTATGCTAATGTAATTTAAAGCATTTCCGTTTAAGAGACAGAGAGAAAGAGAGAGAGAGAGAAAAAGAGAAAGAGAGAGAGAGAGAGAGAGAGAAAGGAAAAGACAAGGAGAATATAAAGTATCCTCATTGGGATACATGTATGTGGAATTGAAGTTTCATGTTTCGAAAATAAAAATTTCAATTTATATATGAATATTGTATAAAATAGCGGTCAATACTTAAGTAGGACAATAGGTCAAAATGATTAAAAACAGTATATTAAGATGAATCGTGCCTTTCAAAACTGACTTTTAAGAATCATTTTGTAACTATTTTTTTAATGACTTGTTGTTTTGCCTGAATAACGTATTAATGCATTTATTGAGGCAGAAGGTTATTTATTGTAAACGCAAATCATATTGTTTACAGAATGTAAAAAATTTTTTAATAAGATATTAAATGTAGCTTTCCACATAAAAAAGCGACGCGGCGGAGCATTAGCCTGTATTTAAGATTTAGTTCAGCTATTTACTATAGACAGCTATTTACTATAAACAAGTAAGGCTCCGCGGAAGCAATATTTTCTCCTTCGAGTTAGAGCGAACTCCAAAAAGAGCTTCTTTTCAGATATCAGATCATTCTATATGTTGTACTTTTAATTACATTCCATTTTTTTTGTTAACTTATTGAGCATTGATACCATAAAATATCTTTTAGTTCTCGCAAAGCCTAAATAAGTTAACAAAAAAGTGTGGAACATTTACCATTCAAAAGTTGACTATTCGGTAACTTGTCAATTTTTATTAGCTTTATTAATAATAGTCGATTATTTTCAGGAATATTTAGAGTAACATGAATCCAGATACGACAAGTGCAATTTTATATTTATTA